GCCTTGACCAGCAAACATTTCCAGAGATACTCCCTGGGCAAGTGACAGCAGTTCAGGCCATCTCTGACAGGTTACCTGCTCCTTGCAGCTCAGGGATCAGGGGGAGCCAGCATTTAAGCTCCTTCTGTGAGTAAGACACAGAGGTGAGCAAGCAGGTTTTGTTGGGGGGGGGGGTTGATATGCAAGGTTCCCTCATTGACATCTCGTGGCTCATCTCCAATCTCAGGCTCGAGGATCAGTTCAGTTTACTCCAGAGCTGGCGGGAATGATTTTGAACGGCAAAAACAGGATCTTCACAAAGAGAGAAGCACTACACGGAGCTGCTAACTCTCTGCCAGAGCCTCGGGCTGGGTGTTTAGCTAAGTGACTTGGCACAGGATGGGGACGGATTGTTTTTCTCAGCAAAGCTCTCTGCCTGTTTCTCTCAAACCCAGGATGAGCTTTCCAGACTGGAACTGCCCTGTTCCTTGCAGCTGGAGTTGCTGTTGGCCACTCTCTCATCAGTGCCACTTGCTGAGTACCACTCACCAAGCACGGTGCCCCATGCCTGGTAAAGGACGGATGGGCAATGTCTGCACCTGGAATTCCAGGACCCTCTTGTCACCCTCCAGGTTGGCTAAATGTCCCCTCTTAGACTATCCTCCCTCTCCCCCTCAACTTGTGTGCTTCTCCCCTCACCCTGGGAGTCACAGGGGCCCCCTCTCAGTTCTCATGCTGCCTCGCTGCCACAGCCGTGCTATGTTCTCACCTCCACACCATCCCCAAAGCAAAGGCCTCTCCCCACCCCCTCAGCACCGTACTCTGCAGCACTTACTACAATTTGCAATTGCATATTTATCTGCTTGGTTACGTATGCATTTCTCTTTCCCCTAGCAGATGGCAATCTCCAAGTGAGCAGGAACGGTATCTGTCTGGTTCCCACGGTATGCACAGTGCCTGGAACAGCTGTAAGTGTGGAAGAGACAGCTGCTGAATGAATGATTGGACGGTCCTATCTATGATAAGGGACTGCGAGGTAGGAAGGGACAGACTCTGGAGGGCTTTGTGAGTAACAATAGAGTCTGAGCTTAGCTCCAGCAGCGAGGGAGGGCCAGCCGGGCATTTCACGCAGGGGAGACACACAGACTTTATTACAGAATATAATCTTCTCTGATGTGGAAATGCACTTTTGGGGGTACGCGAAGGGGCCGCCTGGAGACCTAGTTGGAGGCGCCTATAAAACTGATGTCCTTGCTGCTCATAGTCTGTGGCCCACTGGCACGGCCACAACTTGGAAACTTTTAGGCACACAGAATCTCAGGCCCCAGCCCAGACCTGCCGCATCAGAATCGGCATTTGAACAGGATTCCCAGGCGTCTGCTTACACGCCTAGGATCCCGGCCCTGCGTGAAAGACAACCATGGCCTGATCTGCCTTTGGGAATGGTAGGGCATAGAAATGATTCATCAGTGTCCCCTTTAAAGCCAGTACTCCAGTGTAAGGGCCTGATTGCGCCCCAAAGCTGCTGGCTCACTTGTGTGAGCCCGGATAACAGAAAATGGGCCCAGGGGAGGAGTAATCGGCTCCTGGAAACTGCTAGCTTGGGGCCCAAAGGTAGAGCTATCGGCTAAACGCATATTTCTGCTTCTGAGAATCGCTTGCTTGCAGCTGGACGCATAGGTATGGGGCCAGATAAGGGAGAAAGCCCCCTTTGCCGCCGGCGGGCTACCAGTCCACCAATCATTTTAAAGACTAACACGCACAATCAGCTTGTACAGCGCGGGTGTTCAAGAGGGAGGGGGGATAAAAGGGGAGCCCCAGCTTTGGTCAGGGTCCTTGCCTGTAAGAGCGGCCACTGCGCTGGCACTCTAGGGCCTGGACCCTGGCTAGCCAGAAAATAAAGCTCCTCTTGAGTGACTGCATCCTTGGTGTCTTTGTTCG